GCCTCTTTTAACCGCCGACCCCTGTCCCGCAATCCACGCCGGACCGCGAAATGGCGGAGGATGGGCGCTGTCTTTGCGGCGCGCGCGGCGTCGCCGCCGCCGCCGGATTTAATTGGATTCGCCGGCCGTAATTAATGCGCCCGCCATATCGATTAAGACGGACTGTATTGATCTACTTCCGATATCATCCCTTGTGACATCCCCGACCGCAGGTTCTCTTCGGTCATTCGGAGAGAGAATTAACTGACCCTCCACGAGTCTGATGGCGGCTCCTGTCCATATTAATTTATTTTTATTTTTATCACTAAGCCGGTTACTTAAATTATTTTTCATTATTATTTGTTAAAAACTTTATATAAATCTTTGTTGTAGATCTTTCTTTGTATTTTAATTCTTATATCTCGTAGTGTAACTTTTTTAGCGGCATTTATCTTGTACGTCGTACGAGTCTCGCAGTTTCCAACGATCCAACGTTAATCTCCTCTATTGTCAAATATTTCAGTAATCACGCAACGAAATTTCTGGAACTCATATATTATAGGATTGACGATATATTCCGCTTTTGTCCGCGATATTTTCATAAATCCGCAGTCGTCGCGTCGCGAGTAGTTGCGGAAAAAAAAAAAAGATAATTCGATGCTCTTGGAACGCTTATGTCCGCGTATGCCGTCCTGGGGTGCACTTCATTAAAACTTTTAATTTCACCACGTCCTCATCGTTGCGCAGTGTAACTCGCGAAACGGAGGAGTTTTCGCCGTGTCGCGTCGCGCCGGCATGAATTTGCCGGTCCCTTGAACGTCGTTACATCAGCCGTCCTCGACCCTCTCCCCTTGTAGCACGCCTCTACATAGTTTCTCATGTAAGTGTCTCTCGCCGTACGTATTTCTTTCACTTATAACACGCGTAACTATGCAGCTCGCGTATCCCGTTACGAAGTGCTGCAGTCGCGCCGGATAATCTCCGATATCAGCGCCGAGCGCCAAGATCCAACCGGCGATTTCATCCCCCCTCCCCCGCTCCCATTCGCTCTCTTATCGCTAATTATGAAATCCGCGCCTTCGTTTCCCGCCGCGCGGATATTTCCCTTCCTCGGGAGTGCACCCTTCTCGCGTATCCGCGCCTCGTCTTTCGCGTTTACGCGAGATCGCGCCGAAGCGTGAGATACGTGGACCCAACACCGGTCCGTCCCGTAATTAAAGATTAATCGTTCCCCCATTGAGACCAACCGCGGGAGACTGCTCGATATGGTGATCGTCCTATACATATTTAGAGACAGGGTCAGCATTATTTCATTTGCGTTAATCTCCTGGAGGATCCGAGGGTCGCCCGATGACGTTATTAGGCCCCGGATGACACGAGGGTCGGATGTCTAATCGACCCGGGTATAATGTGTCGCGTTTGCCGAGAGAACTTCGTCTCCAGCGGAGCTTGTGCGCTCCGAAGGATATTCTAATCCGGTCCTGAGAGCTCTCCCTGTACCCAGAATCCGACAGGGATGGGCACGGGAGAGAGGGAGGGAGGGAGGGAGGCGAGAGAGGAGCCGTATGTGAGCCCTCCTCCGTTTATTCGACGGGAAACCGGCGCGCGAGGGTAGACGACGAAGTACCAGGGGAATGAAGGGGGAGGGAAGGGGAGGGAATAGAGGGACGAGACGGAAGGGGAAGAAAACGATAATTCGGCTCACGCGGAATCGGCGGTTGAGCTCCGAGCACGGGAGACTCGAGTGGCTCGGGGTGAACAACTGCGGGGCCATTTTCTACCTCCCTCTCTCCTCCTCCTCCTCCTCCTCCTCCTCCTCCTCCCCAGGATATCGCTATTAGACGGTGACTACCGAAATTTCGCGCTAATCTCGATTTACGACACCGCGGCAAATCATATGTGCCTCCGGCGGTTCCCCTGCGCGCGTCTTCGCGTTATTAGTCGGCTACTAAGCCGCGTTTCAAACTACCGGCTGTAGACATTGATTGCGCGTACTCTGAGCGTCATAAACGATTTCACATCCCCATGGGCAGATACTTTTTGGGCAGATACTTTTAAAAGGTATTTATCAGAATTATATTCGTGGATACAAAATTCGAGTCGAATGATAAACGAACTAATCAGCACCTCTTTTTCATGAATAACAGCTAATAATTGCTCTTTTTTGTTGATTGCGCGTATTTTGAAAGCGTCATAAACGCTTTCATATCTCCATTATTTATAAAAGGGCACATTATTTATAAAAGGTATTTATTAGCATTGTATTCGTGGGCACAAAATTGGTCGAGTAATATACGTCGATTAATCAGCATGTTTATGTTTCATGAATAATAGATAACAATTGCTCTTTATAACTCTCAAAATATATAACAATTTTCTGTTAATTTAGGATTTTTTAAATATTTCATTGTTAGAATCAAGTCACGGATAACACGAATAACCTACATGCGCCATGCGCCAAGTGTGCTGAAAATACATTGACATGTATTAAAAGAAGATAAGTAATGCCTTAAAAATTGTGTTTTATTAAGCTCAAAGAGGAGAAAGAATAGAACTGTTCTCGAATTTAAAGAGCCGTAGTACACGAGAGCCGTCGAAATTGTTCAACTACATCGCTTCGCTCGGCAACGAGCGTGCTCAACAACTATCTGCCGGTGGCGCGTAGGATCCGCGAATTTATCAATTTATCATGTATTCTTCTGCAGACCCGTGGCCGGCGGGGAGATTGTCTGGAATGTCGCCAGGCGAGCAACCCAGTTCGTCCAGCTGGAAGGAGAGACTTGCGCTTGGAAACCTTTGTGAGAGAAAGTGGCGAAAAAGAAGAAAGACACGGAGGTGGTGGAAAGACTCGGAGGAAGAAAAGGGAGGATGGACCGGGGGTGGACAAGAAGGATAAAGCGAACGGTGGAAACGGATGGAGAGAAAAAGGAAGGAAGGAAGGAAGGAAGGAAGGAAGGAAGGAAGGAAGGAAGGAAGGAAGGAAGGAAGGAAGGATAGAAGGACCAAGTCCGGCGGGTGCAGCCGAAGACCACAAAATATCTGTCAATCGCAAGAGCGGGGAGGATCACGGAGGCAAAGTCGATTTAACGCCCGTTAAGGAAGCAATTTCTTTAAGAAGGACGAGCGCCCTCGCCGGCAAGGACAACGTAACCCCGGAGATCCTTGACCCCTGCTCGGGACTTACGACCTCTCTCCGCGGGGAATCGCTTCCGCGCCGCCATTATCGGCGGACGAATAGAACATCAATAACCAATTTCGTAAGACTAATATCGCGAAAATTAGTTTCCCCCGAAAGTCCTCTCCCGTTCCGTCCTTCGTATTTCACCGCAGGTGCCTTTCGTTAAAAGATCGTGAACCCGCTCGATAGCGACGTTTTCATGGTTTTCTTAATGTCCATCCGCACGGCGGCGAACGATCGTGAATCTCCTTTTATCGTCGCGCGATAGTCGTTTTTCTTCGCATCTCTCGCGCTTTTCGCTCCCCCCTCCCTCTCTTTTTTCTTTGATACCCCTCAAATATATCGGCGGCGGCGGCGGCGTCATTACGCCGGGACGACGTAGCGAATTTTTTAACTGGCATTCTTCCCGATTTTCGTCTCAACGAAGCGCTCTTAAAGTTCGAAAAATTACTACACTCCCCGCGAAAAGGAACCGCGATGTCAGGCCTCGACGAATTGATCGTTGGACTCCTTTTCCTCTCGCGTTTTGTATTTGCATAATTCTCTCGTGGTCCGACGTGCCGTCTAAATTTTACGGAGACTTCGCGGGGGGGGGGGGCGTTGTACGTTCAACGAGCGTGTCACGTTCTCGAGATACTTGAGGCCACGATCGTGTGAAGTTTCGAGGCGACGGTTACGTTGTCGAGGCGAGGTATCATCAATGGGCGATGGCCCATAACCCGTCGACGTGGATGCGCGGGTGACGTACGATCGTCGCAACGTCGGGATGTAAATTTCACGAGTTTTTCCAATGGATGGCGTTGATGAATAAGGAATCGTGAGGTCGCACGCGCGCCGGTACGCGAGTAATGAAATGGAGTGAGGAAAGAGCGGAGTGGCATAAAGACCTCGTTGGAAAACCGAGTTTCATCAAGCACTGGCCTCTTTTCTCAGTTTTCTCCCTTCTCGCCCTTCTATCTCTCTCTACCCCGGTATCGCAATCTCGGTTCCCTTTATGTATATACTCGCTCGCTCGCTCGCTCGCTCGCTCTCTTATCAGAATGCGCGTTTGTGAGGATGGGCGACACCGGAGAAGACCCAAAACAGAATTTTGCGTATCAAAGTTGACGGAGCAGCACCCGCCATACATTATTCCACCCGGTCCTTTGTGCGCGCGTCGTGCCGTATCTGTTACGTGCTCTCGCGCGCGTTCTCTCGTACTTTTTCATCATTTTCTTTGTTGCCGGTCGATGTTGGCGGCCGCTCGGTAAGGAATATGTCGACGACCGGCGCATTCGACATGTGCCTCTCCATTTTTTTCTGTTAACCGAAAACTGCATTTCGGCAATTTTCCCGAGTAACTGTGAAATTAATATTGCGGGATATTAATATTGTTGCGCAAATAATACGATGATTACACGATCGGTGCAAACATCGAGTGAATGGCGTGTCAGAAACAAAAGCTAATCGATTTTAATAAATGTCACTCATCTACATGTCCTCTAGCGTTGGATAAATTTGTGGTATAACCGACAGTTGTCGAAATCCTGTATGTAAAAACTCCAATAAAAATAAAAATAAAAACAATAAAAGAAAAACATGAAGAAATAAAATTCTTAATTTTAGAAATTTCAAAATTTCATTGTGACCTTTCATGTAAGTTTAATTTTTCCTATATAAGGCATTATTTCATTTGCTCGGATGTTGATTTTTTCGAACATTAAAATATGTCTGCAGATTTATTTATTATTATTTTCAACGTTCAATTGCTTTGACAAGAATTAAATCTCGGATCTTATTAAATATTTTCTTGGCTAGTTTTTAACCTATATTGCGTAATTTCTTATTTCTCGAAGATTTCTCATCGAGAGAAGTGGTCTATATTGTAGAAACGACATAGAATTTGACTTACCGCTTAAATTACGAAACGATATGAAAAGAGGGACGAAGTGTATTGTACAGACTATTAATCTGTCCAATCCAAAAACATGCGTAAAGCCAAAGATTCGGAGACTCGTTAGCGTGGATGCGGATTCCTTTTTTGGTACTAATCACGCGAGCGACTACTGGACTCCTAGACCAGTTAAAGTTTGCACATTGAAAGACATGCAGAAGATATGTCCGCCAAAGGTGAGAAAAGGATACTGATGTTTCGAGAGGTTTAATTACGCCTTGAAATCGCGTACAAATCTTAAATCAAGAAAAATATTCTTATCTGTATAAACAAGAATATTATATAATCTTCTTAAAAATTTTAATCTTCATTTGATTGAATTTGTATTGATGCAAGTATTACTTTTACTCGAGTCAAGGCTAATCTTTTTTATATGAAGATTATAATATTCTTGTTTATATAATATATAATAAATATACGTACTCTTGAGTTAATCTTTTTTCTGTGCAAAAACATCTGGAACATCATTACTTATAAATATTCATAATAAGTCGCCAATCCATTTGAATCATAAAAACTCGGAAACAAAGAAGAAAAAATATTATTTAACGTCCGACAAGTAAAAAGATCTTTGGCACACCTTTGGCATTGGATACACCTTTCGTGACATACATCTCACGGAAATCGAATCGCACGGGAATCCAATCCTCGGTTAAATCATGTGGCTTGTCGCTGCGTCGGAGCGTTCACTTGGCCCTTGCGCGATATTGACGCGCCACGTAACGAGATGATGGTGTTCGAGCACCTGTACGGAATTGGTTAGTCGATACGTAGTTGCGTTTACCTGGAATTAGCTCGACAGTCGGTGTACACTGCTATAGCGATGGGTCTCTAATGGAGGACGGCAGTCCAAGTCCCCCCGTGACTGTTAGGGACGTCATCGGGATCTCGGAGATCGAGCACGATGACGTCATAACCCGACTGGAGGATTTCGCCCATTCATTTCCATAATCGAAAATTTGATTCGATATTATTACTTCGGAAATATCAATATTAAATCACGTGCTAAATGAGAATCTATTTAGATAGAACTATATATTCAATATTTGCAATATTCTTTGTATGAATATTTAATCGACCTTTTATTATAGTATTTGAAACTTATATTAATGCCTGACATATATAATTATTTAAAATGAATCTCAAATAACATTTGCTAAATTTAGGTACTTTTAAATATTTGAGTCAGATATCTATAGCATTTAAAGATGTCTGATTATAGTCCTAGACAAAAATTACTTAAATTTGAAATTGATGAGATTCTACGTTTTTATAAATTAAGATACCATATGTGCTTGTATTGTGTAAAGGATTTAAATAATGATAGTTAATGACATTTGGCACTACAATTGAATATATTTGTATATTTTTGAATATGGTTATAATTCATTTTCCGAATTTTGCGTTATTTTATCATTAATATCTCGATAACGGGAAGTGAATCGATATGAACTTTTTTTTAGAAATATTGCTCAGTATTTTATTTACTTACAAAGTTTCAGAATATTGGCAATGTTGCTTTTTATAATTTCGTTGACGTAAATGGAAATATCCTGTTATTCCATGAGAACTCAAGCAAAATTAAAAGTTAAAAAAACTCATGAACCAGTTAGTAGAGACTCGATTTTAGGTTTTAGATATATGTTCAAATAATAAATAGAAACAAGTTATTAAATTTTCAGGTGTTGTCAATGTTAGAATGTTAGCGCCAGTACATCCTTAATTATTTATATGTAACCTTAGACCACGCAATTCTGCGATTGTCCCGAGACTCCTCCGCCGCTTTCGACTGGCGAAAAACTTCTCAGAGTTACAGCGTTTTTCATAAAAGCCGCTATCGTCGCTGGTCTCATCTGCTGGACTTACACGGAGGGTCTTTGGGGTGACAGCACCGAGACGGAAGATCTTTATTACAGGATGATAAGCACGATTTTTCCCGATCTGCCCGATCGGTCGGTGAGTGAAAAACGTGAAAATTTGCGAACATCGGGAATTGCACCCGCTCAACGTCGAAAATATATCATTTTTTGCATAGGCACAACTTGAGGAAATACGAGAAATAGTCGAGGCGTACAATCGCATGCTGGTGAAAGAGATGGATATTATCGTCAGCGTGCCGCGCGAGATACATCGAAGACTGCAAGGTATCCTATTTCCGTGCGATTCAACGAAGGAAAAAACGTCCTGACGAGAAATTACAGCGGAAATGTAATTTCAATTTGTGCGTGTCAAAAAATTCGAAATGTCGCGTTGCTGCTAAATGTACACGTGATATATATTCCTGTCGAAAAAAAAAAAATTGCCCGAAGCTCTTAGTCTTAACGTTATGTGGAACACTTGCGAAAGTGAGCTGTTGTAAAGAGAGCCTTGTAACACGCGAATAAATATGCTTAATTTGCCGCGGCATTTGCGCCAGGTCGTTGAAGATATTACAATGTTTCTTTCTTGGTTTTTACATACGGAGTGTGCTCTGTAGTCGCGAATATATACGATACAGGATTAAAATTCCGCGCGACGTCTTTTCCATTTTTTTTTTTTCCCTCCGCGTTGTTTAAGGGCGCACGAGGGAGCTCGCGAGGTACGCATATCAAGCGATTTTTATGATCTGTCTATGTTTCGTCGTAAAATCTCTCATCTCGGCTAAAATCCAACAAGCCAAGGATTAAAAAATTCGCATTTTCATTACATGCCTTTTCACGCGCATTTTTTTCACGCCCGCGAGCGTTGGAACAAACGCGTCGGGATACCGTCAAATGTTCGCGCTCGTAATCAGCTTCGCCGTATTTAAAAAGGAATAGACGCGAAAGACTCGGATCGAGTCCTCTGGCGTACCGCGAATTTCTCAAAACCGCCACGAGTTCGTGCGGCGGCGCCGTGTGACTCCTCACGCGCCGAGTGTTCCTTTCTCGTCGAGAAGGGAGCCCTCCTGGAGAGGAAGTTTCGGGTCCCATTTTTCAGGCGCGTCTATCTTTTTGCGGCACGTGAGCGTCGCTTGTCAGGGACACACCTATTTTACTTTACAAGCGCGCCCGGTTCTCTTTCCTCCCCCCCCTCCCTGAGTCGTACGCCGCGCCAGGAAAGCAATATGTCCAGGTTACCTCGTCCAGGTGGTACGGCTTAAATGAAGACGCCTCGGGATTTCGGACAATTAAACAGTTTATTCAGATCAAAACATGGTGTAGTATATACATACGAGTTAGTTAAACGATATAAGGGCGGATGAGGGACGGGGGGGGGGACAGGGGGACAGGGGGACAGGGGGGCAGGGGGGAGGTCGAGAGGGGAAGGGGAAAGGTCTCTGATATGAAATCGTTCACCTATACACAGTAAACTTGAGGTTCGGACTTACGACTGTCGATTTACATGGACTCTCTCGCGTTGTCGTTACATACAGCGTTACGTACAGCTGATTATGTACATCATTACTCGCTACTATTACTTCTTCGTGATCGCTCTTGCGCTTATTCTGTCTTCTTTTTTTCCTCTCTCTCTCTCTCTCTCTCTCTCTT